TGATTCATTCTAGACTAACATCTAATTTAATAAATTGAAGCTCAATTTGGTCAATTAGATGTCAATTAAATTCATTAGTCTAGCTTGGCCATACAATTTAACTCAAACTAAAACAATTGGGCTAAACAAATTAAATTGGATCAATTTGTGCTTGAATTTCAAATTGGTTCAATCTAATTAATCGAATTCAATATTAATCGGGTCAATCAATCATGATATGGATTAAACTGTACAAAATTGAAATAAATTGGGCCGAGAATTGAACCGGTTTAACCCAGTCAAACTCGGGTCAAACCGGTTCAACCCGGTTTGACTGGAATTAAACAGGTCCAATCGGATCGGCCATTTTCCGGTCAAAAATCCGGCGACCGGCAGTCCATTCCGGCCAACTACATCCCTTTGTGTTCAAAATGACAAAAATGCCCTTAAATGAAAATTACAAAAATGCCCCTAAAGCAAAATTACCAAAATGCCCTTACTTAAGGATTAAGTAAATTACTTAGGGGATAAGTAAATCAATCATGGCCATTCATTGAGAGCAGATCATGACCATCCATAATGCCATATCACATATCCTAGCTCTTAAGGAATATTCTTAATCATTAAGGATGCATTCTAGGCCATTAGATTGATCTAAGGGTTATGATTCAAAGTTGTGGGGTATATAAACTTTTTCCCTCCAAAAATTGAACGCTCTCATTTTTTAGATCTGATTTCTCTCTCCTCTCTTCCCTCTCTCTCAATCTCACGTTCTCTCTCTCTCTCTCTCTCTCTCTCTCTCTCTCTCTCTCTCTCTCTCTCTCTCTCAACCTAGAGCTCTCTTCACCGGTTCGACTGCTCGCCGACCAGTTCCCGGCGTGTAGCCACCGCTTCAGTGATCCTCTTGGTGTCCTGGAGCCAGTTGCAAGACCAGCCACAGCTGTTGATGGCCGGAGGTCCTCTGATCGGCTCCTTTTCCCTTTCGGTAAACTCACCGGCAACAAAGCCGGTGAACCTTTCAGCCGGTTCAATCAGCTGAACCGGTGATCCGACAGCTCTCTACGGCAATCCCAAGCCTCCAACGACCTTCCTTGGCGTCCTCCTGTGGCTGTGGTGGCCATGGTTCCTCTGAACGGCCACCAGATTGTCTTGTTCTTTTGATTTTTAGATTAAATGTTCATTTGTGCAAAACCGAGTCGATTCTCACTTTAGCTTGTACGCTTGATTCTCATAGGCTTCGCCATGCTGTCCTTGAGCTGAATACGAAGGCCGGATTGCTCGGTTGTGCGTCGAAGTATCATTACACAAGGTGAGTTCAAATCTGTTATTCTCGGATCCTGGTGATCAGTTTGCTTGTGATGACGATTTGACTTTGAAAATATTAGAATCTCGCGAAGTGATGAACTAGAGAGTCGAACAATACATTTTTAGCTTTGATTTGATAGGTTGTACGCCTTAAACGGACATCATTTGCTAGGTTAAAACTCTTTCAAAAGTTGAAATCAGAATCTGGAATGATCATACTGGGTTCTGTCCTTCTGTGATACTAAATGACCCTGCTCGGTTGGATGATTTTTATGATTTTATGTGTTCGTTATTTGAGAAAAATTCCTTCATGAAAGTTGTAAATCACATTAAGATCTATATACTGTAAAAGTTTCATAAAATTTCAAGCATGTTAGGTTAGGACGATTAACAACGTCATCTAGGCTCAGTTCCTGTGATAGATGAGTTTCTGACTGACCTTCATTTGTTCTTTGATTTTTATAAATTCGTGTGTTCAAAATCTGGAAAAATGTTCTTCATAAAAGTTCATACTGAGATCAAAATATTTCCAGTGACATCAATTTTATCAAAATCGGAGTTCATTTGGATTTTCAAACGAATTTTTATGATTTAGTCAGTATCTGTGTCCATATCCGATTTTCCTCTATCTGAAATCCAAAATATGTTTCTCCGAATTTGATAAAGTTATAGTCATCTTTTGCTAAACTCAAAACTACAAAGTTGTTCATTCGGGTTTTATTATGTAGAATGAATATTTTGGGGATTTAATAGCAATTTTTAGGGGGTCAATTTGCTAAAAGTCTCAGATAAGGTCCTCTCGGGCTAAAACCCGGCTTGTAAATGAGTCCTCGGTGCAAACCGAATTTTATAAAAATTTGGAGGGCTTGTTAGCAAAAAATCAAAACATGAAAGCTATCACATACGGATAATCCTAATTTTCCAAAGTTTGGCGGGGTTTTGATAACGGTCACTATTTTTCCTGCAATTTCTTTGAATTCAAATTCAAACCGAGTCCAGACTATCCCCGAGAGTAAAATTCTCATTTTCGTGAAAATCGGTGGGGAATTATAAAAAAATGGTCTGCATGAACTTTTGATCCTCATGACATAAGCTTTCTAATGAAACTTGAATCAGCTCATTTGGATATCATTAGGTTGATTAATCATGTCTGAACAGAAGAGGTCCGAATTTGACAATAAGAACTTAATAAGTGGTCCTCTTATGAGACCCACTTCCCATTGCTTGATTGATTGAGAAATAAGGCCTATAGGCCTGAATGCATGCTTTACTCATTTGCTATCCATGTGTTTAGATGTATGTTAGGCCCGGTGTACCTTCGGCAGGTAGCCCATGGTGGTCACTTAGAACCCGACTTTAGGGGTTAACCGATATTAGTTCTCATTTTATGAATGCAAATGGTAGCTCGTTATCGTTAACCATTAATCAAATAATGTTAGATGATTAAGTGGGCGGGTAAATGAAATGCATGCAAAGCAAAGGTCGATCCCGAGGCCCGTGTTTGATTAGTGAATTGCTTGCATCATTGCCTTGCTTTGGTTGTTCCTTTATGCATTGTTTGTCTTGAATGTATCTTATGGATGTAAAAACCGACACCCAAGAGGTAGTCCCTGGAGGCGATAGTCCAAAGTTGTAAAAAACGGAAGCGATAGATTGATGTCCAATCCGATCTCAATTTGTATTCAATTAACGGAGGTGATAGACCGATGTCCAATTCGATCTCAATTTGTATTCAATTCATTCGTCCCTGATCATGTCTTAGGTTTTCAATTTGTGTTGTAATAAACACCCGACGAGTTGCGGGTTTTACTTTCTTGCACTTAGGATTAGCTCGTCTTTTCAATATCTTGAGTGTCTACTTTACGCATCGCCATTTCAATATAATTGTTTCTTTCTTTTTTTTCTAGACTAAGAGAGGATTAGTTTAGAATCTTAAATGAAAACACAAAAACAAGATGCATGATCACCTAGTAAACTAAGACTTTGGCATAAAAATGGTAAAAAACAAATGCACGACAACTTAGATAATAACCATGATAAGTTTAGCGGTACTAAAAGGGCGTTAATAGAAATATTAACGTAAGCTAGTCCCCAAACTCATGATCTCTGGTTTTTAGAAACCGAAACGAAACTCCCGCGTTTCGGTTGGGTATTCTAGCTGACCACCGACCTAGGCTAGTGGCGACTCTTAAAAAAGATAAAATCGATTCGCTGTCACGCGAGGTATAGATTTAGGGAAAATCCACGTTCATGATTAATGGACCGTATGGATGACCAAAAGATCGACGCTTCGGTAAGCCGTCTTTTATGATGTGCCATACGGATCGCTTCATAAACACTTACCTCTAAACCTGTTTCATCGAGTTCGACCCTCGAGAAGTAGGTCGCGACACCATTAATTCTCATTCAACTCGCTTCATCAACTCTAGCTTCTCCGCGAATACGGGTACGTGCAAATTCCTTTGATATAAGATAATTCTCAATTTGCATTTTTCGGAAACGAAAATCCTTCCCATCAAATCTGTCGATTTTTACTTTTCCTTCTTCCATCGCCATCGATTCAATTCAACTTAACCAACCTTTACTCTTATACCCATTGTTACGAGAAGCAAGGGATTGAATAATAAAATAGACAAAATAAAAAAATAAATCAGATACCAGATTTATATGGTTCGGTCGTAGTGAGTTACGTTCACAGGGAGAGCAGAAACGAATTCCACCAATTTGTTGTTGCTGTTAGTGTTTCCTAGCCCCCAATTGCACCCAATAATGCACATAATGTTTAGTCTCATAATTTCTCACAAAATAATCTATTAATCTCACAAAGGAATTACAGAAAATCTTACCACAAGATTTAATTGGTTTGAACATTAAAAGCTCTTTGGGCGTAATTCATGAAGAAGTATGTTTGATACTCTTAACAAAGAACATCCCCTTATTATATATAGGCAAAAATTGCATCATGTTGACACTTGATTTGTCAGCAGCAAAAAACAAGTTGGGTAGACTATCAAATAGTAATAGAATTTATTAAATAAAGTCAATAAAAAAAATTAATTAAAAAATATTATTTTAAAAAAGAAGAGAAAAATGAAATGGGGCCAAGCCAACCTAGCACCTTCTTTCCTTTCCCCCAATTGGGCTTGGCCCTCCTCTCCTTTCTTTTCTTTCCCCCTAGCCCCGGCCCTCCACTCCTTTGTTTTCCTTCCCCTCGGCTTGGCCCCTTTTCTTCCTTCTCTTTTCCTCTATATCCTTCATGCTTGTTGCAGAGAGCAGTGAAGTATGCGGCAGAGCATAGGGTGAGTTGCGAGAAAGAGATTGAGCAAGAGTCGAGAGTGAGAGAGCTCCTCCGATAGCCATCTCTGTCACGCCCCGGACCCTAACGGGCTTGTGACACCCTACGACGATCGTATCGAATGCGACGTCCCAGGACGCGTCATCGACCCAAACAAAATACCCACATGAATACGCAAGTGGAAGCGAAATATAACAACCCAGACAATAGACGATGACAGAGGGATAATAACAGCATAAAACAATAATTTCATAGCAATGGAAAACAGTCACTTACAACATTCGGCCAGACAATCAGACATTAGGCTCTTAGGGTTAACATCCACCATTATCATAAAAAAGGGATAGGTGGTAGTGTAGGCTGACTAGCTGCACAAAAAGGGCTCTACCAAAAAGCTTCTAAACCCAGCACCCAAACACTCCTACGGTGCCCAATCTGAATCAAACCCTAAAGACTCCGACTCCGTGTCAGAGTTGATCTCGATCGGCTCTTCCTCGTTACCCGACTCCTCCTCGGGCTTGGACTCCATGGGCTCTGGCACAGGCTCGGGCTCTTCTTCAGGTTCGGACTCCTCAAATTCCTCTTCGAGCTTGAGGTCTGCAGGTGCTACAGGTTCTGGTACGGGTTTGAGTTCTGGACTGGGGTTCTCCGAGGGATTTTCGGAGTCCAGAATCTCACCATCAGGAGCATACACGTCCCCGGACTCCCAATCCACGACATCCTCGTTGCCGTGCTGCTGTCCCTCAAAACCCCAGATTGGGCCAACTAACTCCAACCCGTCACGATAAAATCAGGCCAAGTAAGTGTGACGCTGCAAGTCCTGTAAGCCCAAATTTACCCATAATGTAGTGAGGTGCCAAATGTAAGTCTGATGTGGACCTACTGGATACTCGGTCTCCTCATGCACAGTGTCACGCCCCGAACCCCGACAAGTGCGCAACACCCCAAGCTCGGTCGAAAAAGTGTCACGTCCCAGGAGGTTGCCGACCCCACATACACAGAGATAAAGCACTAGCGGAAGTAAACATACGCCCAGACAATATTTAGAAAGGGGTAATAGGGAGAAACAAATCACCAAACCACCAAGCACTATATTACACCGCGATATATACAATATCCATTACAAACCATCACAACCAGCAACCTCTGCACCAACAACCGCCGATGTCAAAAAGGGACTAGCGGCATCGGGTAGACTAATACTATCACCAAAAAGGGGCGCCTCTCAAAACTGTCCAACCCCTAACTTCTAACTAACCCCTATTTGCCCTAGAAAGGGTCCACTCAGAATCAGTCTCGTCGATGCCAGTCTGTTCCTCTGAAGACTTGGACTCAGCATTGATCTCAATCGGATTGTCCTTGTTTACCGACTCCGCTGGAACTTCGATCGGCTAAATGATTTTAAATAAAACCATGAGAACACTTCTCAGCAAGCAACACCCTAAACCCTACCTAGGCTAACACGTATCTCTGGGTATGTTCGAGCACACAAATCACACAACTATCAAGCCAGAACAATAGCAGGCACAAATATCTCACCTTGATACGCCCGAAATCTTACATGCGAATTCAAGCATTATTACCATATACCGACACCATGTCGCACTCAATAATACTAATCAAACCATATTCATGCCCACATTCGCATAACAAACACAACATCATACGATTCCCATTTCACTCGAGCGCATGCATCCAATTTATTTCTGACCCGCGTAATTACACCTCAGGTCCACTTTCGATCCACGGTCCACATACAACCGTCTCATATTCACAACACTCCTTAGCCCGCGTTACAGTACACGCCTCAGGCTATGTCTCTTGCCCGCGTATCACGCCTCAGGCTCAACATCCTCTACCTACGGCACAACCCGCGTAAATGCATCAGGTTGGCGGTCTTTCGGTAATACTGGGCATCGTCCCCCGTTACAGTACATGCCTCAGGACGGGTTCAATTCCCCGCGTTACATTACATGCCTCAAGGATTATGTGATCAAGTGAGCACGTCAACAAATCACATTTTATCTGGACCCCGCGTTACAGTACACGCCTCGGGGTTTTTAATGATCGCGCAACACGTCGGGCACCCAATCACATGTCAATTTCATACGACCAACTCGCACACGACACCCAAAGTATTCAAATCACCAACAAGCCACATTAACCCACAAATTCATCAATTCCACTTGCACAAGCTCAATTTAATACAATTTTCATATTCTAGGCCAATTTTCACCAATCAAGAGCGTCGCACTCATGCCACAAATCCCGATTCACCACATATAGTAATTCAAACATAAGCATGCCACAATTCAGCCACAATATGCACGTTAACTCAGCCACCACAGAAAAAATCACTAAAACATCACATTTAGGCCCGTTTTCGAGCAATAATTTCCGATAATAACTCGTAATCATCCCGATCACCAACTTAATCAATTCTAACCTCAATTCCACCTCTAAAATTCTCACAAATTCATCCAAACAACTCAGCCAACTCAGTCCACCAATTTCTCTACGATTAACCCCTAAAACTCGCTAAAATGGCCCCAAACTAACCCGAAATTACCCGTTATCTTAGGCGAGGTTTAGGATATCACTTACCCAAAGTCCTAAGCTAGATTTAGCAACCAAGGGTGGCGGAACAAGGGAAAAACAGCAATGGCTGCGTCAACGAGCGGCGAGGGGTGCCGACGGCCTCACGGCGACTGTGGACGGATGGACAGACGGCGACGGGCTTGGCCGGTTGGCCACGATCACGGGAGGAGGGGGAGGAGAGTGATTCGGCCAAGAGGAGAGGGAGAGGGTGTAGGCATGAGAATGAGTGGGAGAGAGAGAAAGAGAGAGGAAAATAATTATATAGGTGACACCAATAATTGGTGCACCGACCCCAAGCCAAAATTACCATCCTACCCCCCTCTCAACTTTCCATCCAACGGCCAAGATTCAATCTTATCCAAAAATCGACAGCCAAGATCAACTCTCACAAAAAATATCCAAAGGCAAAACGGGAATTTCACAAAAAGTGCAGGGGCAAAATTGTCCAAAATTTTTTATCTCTAAAGTTGGTATGAAATGACCAAAATGCCCTTCTCACATTACACTTGGTCTTCACAAAATCCCAGGGGCAAAACGGTCATTTTCCACTTTCTGTCAAAATTTCAGTTTTCTGACGAATTCGGACAAATCCGAGGCTGACCACGTTAATAACGACGTCGTCCAATTACTCTGTCATGACTTTCAAAATTGTCAACACCCAAACTCAGCCTCTATTTAATGGCCAAACTCAAATAAACGCGACTTGAGCTTATCTCAAACTAACGGGTGGCTTTCGGGAAAATTCGTACTTTCGACCCATGGTCGATAATAAATCGAGCCACGTTTAAGTTCACTTGAGCCATGACAACCTCGATTATTATATAATTGCGAGGATCAATCACTAATTCTAGAGAACGCGATCGTTTGGAATAGGTTTGAGATCACTTGCAAATTTCGTATTCTGGCGAGGCGGAATCACCTGCGATCCAATTATACGACATTCGCAAATCGATCCATGACCATCCTTAGATCGGTCTATATTAGCCCAAAATATCACCTCGATAATCCTTATGGTCGAAAGTCAGTCCATGGTCAGGTTCTATGGTCGCGCGAATCTAGATCCCTAATTAGCCTTTCCCTATTGGTTAGTATCTCAAGAGCGATCAAGTCTGGGCGAGATTTACTACAAGTGCGTTATTGAAATTACACATTTCATAAATACCAAGTGGGTCAAAATTTAGAATGTCACACACTGTATGCATAGGGACCCCAAAATGCCAAGGTGGCGGCATGATCAAGGTCGGGGTCGGGGTCGAGGATCTGAAATAGTTTGCACTACAACAATGAGAATAAATCTCAATAAACAGACAACCTAAACCCCACCTAGGCTAATGCTTACCCAGACGAGTCCCAACATGCAATCTAGCAATCAACATAATAGAATTTTCATGCACACTTACCTCGTCTCAAATCAACCTCGTCTCAAATCACACGCCAACTCTGCGCATTAGTCAATTCACAAAAATGCAATAATATCTCAAGAACATAACATAAACACTCGAGCGCCATAACCACGTACATTTACCCAATTTAACCAAACACATTTCGTATGCTTGTCCAACCAACTATCCACAACCCGCGTCAACACGCCTCAGGTCCAGCCCTCTGATCAATCTGGGCTTAGTCCCGCATAACCATGCCTCATGTCATTTCTTGCCTTTCTAGCCACACCCGCGTAACCACGCCTCAGGTTGGCAGCCCTCCAATCAATCCGGGCTCAGTCCCACGTAACCACGCCACAGGACATTTCTCTTGACCCACGTAACCACGCCTCAGGTCATTTCTTACATTTCTAGCCACACCCACGTAACTGCGTCTCAGGTTGGTAGCCCTCCGATCAATCCGGGTTAAGTCCCGCGTAACCACGCCTCAGGACATTTCTCATGTACATACGCCACAATACAATTCGCCAATACCAATCTAACACGTCATACTATTCAAATTCAAGTCATGCTCATCACATTAAACCACCAATCTGACCCTCAAGTCGGCCACATTCAAACACCAATTTCACCCACAAATGCCACTACAACTCAGTCATTGAACCCATCTCGATCGATCACTAATTTAGCCACAAAATCACCACCACAATAATCCATAAACCAATCACATTCAATTAACTAATCCCTACCTAACTTAGTTACTAAACCAACATTAATCACCCCTAAACAAGTCTAATAATACCCAAAGTACTAAGTAGGGTTTAGGGAGTCACTTACCTAGGTTTTGGCCTAAGGAAAACCAACAAAGGGGCCAAATGGCCGGTCGGGGCAGCGGCGGGCTCGGCGCGGGCGAGGGCACATCGGGCAAGTGGCTCGACCACGGTTCGGCACAGCCCTCGGCCACGGCCAGGCGAGGGACCAGGCGTGCGGGCGAGCGGCTGGGCACGACGGGCAAGCGGCTGGGTGAGCTCGGCCACGATCGGGACGGCGGCCAGCGCGCGCGGGCGACGGGCTCGGCACTCGGCACGGGCAAAGGCAGTGGCTGGGCTGCTCGACCACGGCCGGGACGGCGGCCAGGCGCGCGGGCGACGGGTTCATCACTCGGCATGGGCAAGGGCAGCGGCTGGGCTGCTCAGCCACGGCCGGGGCAGCTGCCAGGTGGATGGGCGACGGCCTGGGCTAGCTGGGCGACATGGCCGGCGAGCTGGGCGAGCGGCCAATAGCGACGGCAATGGCGAGCTGGCGACGGGCGACGGGTAAGCTGACGACGATGGTGACGGCGAGCTGCTGAGCGAGACCCACAGCAGCGAGTTGCTAGACGAGCTGGCGAGTGGCCGGGGGCAGGAGCGGCGGTCGGACGGCGGCCCTGTGAGCGACATGCGGCGGTTGGACGCGCAGCGACGTAGGCGCATGGCGGTGGCGACTGGTCCGGGCAGAGGGCAGTACTCACGGATGGCTTGGGCGGATCAGCTACGGGCGATTGCGAGGCAACGGCGAATGAACAGGCACGCGGCCGGGCTGGCTGGCGACGGCGACGGCGTGCGGTTGCTGGGCGGTAGTGACGGTGGTGGTGGTGGCTGGTCGAGCGAGCTATTTGGCGAGACTCGCGGCGGCGAGCTGCTGGCCGAGGTAGCATCGATGGCGCAAGGCGGACGGCCGACAAGCGGCGGCTGGGTGAGCGGCGATCGGGCAGAGGGGAGCAGGGGCAGCGGCGAAGGGAAAGGAGGAAGAAGAAGAAGAAAGAAGAAGAAAGAAGAAAGAAAAAGAAGAAGAGAGAGTGTGAGAGAGAGGGAGGGGACGTGTGCATGGGGTAGAGGGGGAAGGGACGTGCGTGGCAGAGGGGGGGGGGAGAGAGAGAGAGAGAGAGAGAGAGAGAGAAAGTCAACTTCATCGAGTGCGATCCAACGGCCCACGTTCAAACTCGAAGTTGATCTGACGGTCCATGAAAAACCTTAATTTATAAATTAGGAAAAGGCCAAAATACTAACTAAAATACACTAAGAGAGAGGTCACTAGTCAAAATTCGCACCAGGTCAAAATTTCACTTTTCACCAATTCCGGGCAATATCGACGCTTGCCACAATAATATCGACACCGTCCAATTAAATTCATCACGAAACTCCGAGAAATTCGACACTAAAGTTCGGGCTCTAAATAAGGCCAAATTCGATCGAATGCGATTTTAGCGAAATCTTAAATTTAAAAATAACCCGAGAGTGATCAGTTTTGGGCGTGATTTAACTATAAACGCACCGACGAAATACACGTTTTATAAATCCCAAAAATGGGTCGGAATTCGGAATGTCAGAATCTCACCCGAACCTCGGCCGACGACCCTTGGCGACATGTCACTTTCCCCATGGTAGGTCTCGATTTAAATATTTTTTTTTCAAGCTGTGTCGATTTCCCGAGGATCTCGGCTTAGAGGCACGTGAGGCAGCCAGACGTAGTGTGACATTTCGATTTTCGTTAAATCGATTAGTGAGCCACGGAAGATTATATTAGTGTCAATGAATGAAATTAATTAGTTAACATATTTCTAATGGCCATTTAAGAAAT